ACCCTTCCGGATTTGGTGTGTACATTCTCATTCCCCATTTGCAAGGGTGATTTCTCCCTATGGAGAACTTGTCTGCTACACACGTTTAACAGCGCCTTCAGTCGCTCATTACCCTGTAACAGAGCAGTAAGACCTACCACACCAGACAAAGCAGTGCAAGCCAGGTGACTTAATACCGGGTGTCAAGAGGAAGAAATGGCAACAGTTGTTTAATGGGCAGCAGAGAGGGCAGAAGCTAAAGCACCAACCAGACTCTGCCATCGTATGGCTGACAGGCCGGCGATACCCAGCAAGAGGAGCTCAAAGGTTCAGAAAATATCGGAGGTCACCAAGCTCTCCACCTCCCCTTTCTAACGCAGGTGTAAATGAAGCTGGTTTCCAAGTATCATCCACTAGCACCAGCTGTAGGACTGCCAGTCTGGTTATCAAGCTGTGCTCTTCCTACTTCAAGAAGGAGCCGTAAAGACGTAAAAAAGCAGGTGTTTGTCACTTCTGCAATCAATTCACTCTTCAGAATGCTATTAGTCTTGGAAAGCTAATTAAACCACAAGCAGAACAGTCCATGCTTTTACTGAGAAGCCAGAAGAAATTACACACATAAACATCTGCCTGGTAGAAATACATGCGTTCCAATACCGTTTTTCTGACTATAACCTGAACCTACACGTGCAGAAGATTTTAAAATCCTCATTTAGCAATACTGTAATTTACCAGCATTTTCCTCCAGGCTTTTAATTTACAATGAACATAACCCAGTTTGCCACAAGACAACAAATTTATTGCTAAAAACTTCACATCCTACAACTCCAATTTAAACGCAAAAACCCCACACCGCCTCAAACTAATATAGCTGCTTCAGTAAATGGCTTCCAAAAGCTACTGCCCTTAATTCAGAACGGAACAACTCCCATAGAGATGCTCTGAACAGCACCAGTTCTTACTTTCAGCCCTATATGCTGTCACTCACCTCCCAGTCCAGAGGTCGACCTGCACAGTTCACATCCTGCTCGCGTCACCAGACCGCGCCACGTCCCGCGGGATTTTCAGTTCCGCTCAGAAACTGCTGGATACTTTCATCTGTTTCTGCCCCCAGACGAAATCCCTAACCCCAGGAGGCACCAGTGCGCTCTCTTGCATCACTCATCTCTCAGAAAAGGTAACAGCCTCAAACCAACCCACGTTTTCCAGAACAAAGGACAAGAACTGTGAAGACCAAGGTCACGAGCGAGGAGCTCAGCAGTACCTGTGGGTGGGGAGGGCGTGGCAGAAGGAGATGCCGATACAAGCGAGCCACAACCTGGTTACCTAGTTTACCTATGACTTGAATAAATGATTCCCAGTTCTGTCAGCGTACTCCATTTCTACTAGAGACTACACCTGGTGTTTGATCACAGCATTAAAAAGGGTCTGTTACGACACAGCAAAAACACCTACTGCAGTGGTCTTCAACAGAATTAGCTTCATGCTTCACTCCTGCAAAAGCACAACTGGACTACGGACACGTGAAAGAGCGCAGAGAAGAGTACCACTATTCACTGCTTGTTCTACTGTGTTAAGAAAAGAAAGGAACAATAAAAAACCCACATCACAGCCTCACGTCACTCAGAGTGCAAGGCACTCTCTGACAATTATAATGTGGCTGCAAAAACTTTAATTACGCGGGAGCGTTCAGCTGACGCTCATACTGCCGTGCGGCGCTGCATGAACACAGACAGACATCCCTCTTGTATCTAACAGCCCAAATACAAGGGTGCTGCATTTGATTCCAGGAATGAAGCGCCATTTCAACCCTTCTTCAATCACATGCAAAGAAAGAGTCGAAAAGCCTACACAGATACGAAATATCGTCCTCTCAAAATCGTGTGAAGGGGAGCTAAGAACTAGTCTCTACACTTCATATTAATCTGCCTTAAGATCTTTACTTCAAAAGGACTGACTCATAATAAAATCCCACGTTATACATAAGCCACCAGTGTAGAACCCAGGCACTAGTCCTGAGGTACTTAAAATTTGACAGCTAGAAGGCACACATAGCAAGGCATCAATCTTCCTAACTGTCTGTAACAACGCTATTGTTTTCAGAATCTAAGAAGTGGAGTAAATTGACTTAGGGGGAAAAAAAAAAAAGATAAAAACCCCATAAACTTGTAGCAATGCTGGCGGCAGAACCAGAAATTGTGATGCACAGATCTGGCCTTCCCTCCCTCTGGGTGACGTATGCACGCTCATTTCAGAACAGCGGACGTCAAGCTATCACTTTCTTTGACACAAGACAACCACAGCTATTTAGGAGCAGCTAACGAGGTGGAAAATGTGTAGGTTTATCTCACTGTCTCTGCACTATACCTGTAAGGGGGCCTTCGTTTCTCCCCTGCATACTGAAACAGATCGTCAGTGAAGAATTTGGGTACTTTGTAGTCCTCCAGCAGTTTCCTGCGCTTGGGATGCTCTCCGTAGCTGCTGTCAAAGATGTAGAGCGGGCTGTCGTCGCGTGTGGTCTCCATATACTCGATGTAGTATTTCATCTTCATCTTCACAGAGTAACCGTCATTGTCCTCCCCACATTTGAACTTCTGGTTCCTATACTTGCGCTTCAGCCGCTCCAGAGTCCACTTCTCCTGGGCAGACCAGCCCACC